AGGTCCGGCACTCGGCCTCTGTGAGGCAGTAGCATATGGTGCCTACGTATTTATAAAGAGCCATCATGGAACGTAGATTGTAAGAATACTGTTTGTGCACTTACCATGCCAGTTCCCTTATCAGCCGAGCTGTTACATCTCAAGTGAAACAAATATCCGGCCAGCTTCCCAGCGCCCGTGGTGGAGCGGGCTAATGGTGCTGATGTGAGCCGCTCTGGTTTATCACCCGGGGGGCTGTTCTCACTCTCATTAGAAAAATGAATGCAAGATAAGGACTGCCATGCTCCATGCCAAAGCTGTCAGTGTGGAGAGCTGTGCTGGGCAAGCTGAGTGTTTCTCAGGGGCAGGGATGACTGACAGTTGAATTCTAACAGTATTGCATTATTTCTTTGCTTAGCATACCCCTGGAGTGAATGACGTAGCTCCCTTTTTTTTAAAAATGTTTTTTGCATGTCTGCAGCTGCGTATTTACGAACCCTGTCCAGGGTTTTGCCCAGGGCTGCAGTGGCAGAGCCACACCAGGGAGCTGTACTCGCCGGCTTTGGAGCCTAATCTCCGCACCTGCTAATGCTTGCCGGTGCAGGGGGCCGGTATAAACAGCAACCCGTGTGGAATCGATGACGCCTCAGAGTATCATTCATGTTTTTATGCCAATCTTTACGAGCAGAGTCCAGCAGTATTGGCAGGACCATACAGTGCTGTACTGTTGTAGATGTACACAGTCTGCGTCACAATGTCCTTGAACTAGAGGTTGCAAAAAATGCATTCTCATGTGGGTGACAGTGCTGCACCTGATATGAAGCAGTGGTCTGTAAACACATTAGCAGGCAAAGGTAGTTCAGTGGCAATAATGGCTATGTGTTTTTTACTATAGGGAAATGTGTCGTGTATATTTTGTCCTTTGAGGTACTCCCTATGTCCTTTGAGATCTGGGATCTCCATGGTGACTGACTTTGACTCGTGACCACTGACATACTGCTAGAGAAGACGTGTGATCTGAGCACCGGGGGGACAGGGGGTGGGTAACAGAGGGAGAGAGAGATGAGTGATGAACCAGTCAGGGCTTTATCGTCTGCAGGGCTAATTACGACAATGCCTTTTTATTTCAATGGTGTCCATGTCAGTTGGATTTGATATGGGAGCAGCACCAGCTGGAAAGGGAATCGCTGAGGTCATCCTTACCCTAAGGGCCTTAGATAGCTGAGCATGATGCATAGAGGCTTATTTCTGGGCTGCAAGAACTACCCCCTCAGGAATTCCTTTTTTCCCTTTGATTTAGAAATGATGAAAAAAAACTGCAGTGTGGAAAATTCCTGCAGACTGCGCTACTGCAACCGGTCCACAGATTTCCTACAAGTGTTCTGCTGCAGTAAATGAGTCATCAGGGCATCTTTATGGTTATTATTTATGTGCATTTTTTCATGTTTGTTAGCTAGAAGCACATCTTCTCAAACAGGCCTCGGGTGGGGGTCTGATGACTGAGACTAAAAATGTTATTTTACTGGAGCATCTCGCAGCGCTTCCCCCCAAACACACGCTCAGCGTATAAGTGGGAAGAGGCCGAAAGCACAAACACACGGCTCATTTTGTCTGACGCGGCAGAGTGTGAAGAATGAACAACTCCACAGTGGCCCTGTTTAAAAATTTGCCCTCGTCCGGAGGACAGCAGCGCGACAGCTGGACTGCCCGTCAGCAGAGACCGCCTTGATGGGATTTTCTGCTTTTCGTAATGTTATTATATTTGCGTTTGTTTCCTCCCCTCCCCCCACCCCTTCTAACTTCCTTTCCGGCATCAATTTAGTGGAATTCTTTTTATGGCAAGGGATTATGCGGGAGGCCAAATATCCCTCCAGTTTGGAGCTCATTGCTCTGTTCATGTTAAAGAGGCAGGAGGGCAGTAATTACACTGTGTGGTTGGACCCAGACAAAGTAATTTTTTAGTTTTTGAAACACACCCTCACATGTACATGGAATGGAGACTTCGTCATAGCAGGTGATGCTTGACTCTGTCCAGCTGACAGCTTGGTGCGTTGCGGGTGTGTCTGATAGCCATGAAACGTCGACTTTATACCTCAATCTCCTGTGTGAGGGCTCTGTGCTGTGCTAATGCCACATACCAGGTCAGCTGCCAGCGGGCACGTGTACCAAGTAAATACAAGCAGGGTAAAAAAAGAAAACTAATTGATGTGATTCACAGAATAATGGGCGACGTGATGAACAGGACAGGACATGCAACCAGCTATTAAAGTATTAGCTGAACAGCCGTAGGCTGCCAGCTCCCTGCCAGAGGGAGAGGGGTTCTCCTCTGTGCTTGCCAAAAAGGCGGGACCGTGGTCACCCCTGACAAAGCCGTGTGGCCCAGGTGATCCGATGGAGTGAACGTGATAGCCCCCGGGAGGGAAGGGCGGGAGAGAGGCGCATGTCACTGCTCTGTTGTGCCCCAAATCTCAGTGCACCTGCCAAGAATGTAGGGGAGAGGATGGAGGGGGTGGATGAAAGAAGAGGAACTGTACTTGTGGACTGGATGGTCTATCCTTGACTGCATGGAGGACTTTCTCTGGTTCTGTTCCATTGCTGCATTGGTCTTGGTCCTGTTACATGTTTTCCCCATCAGTATGAATAGAGGAAGATCGTGGGGCTACATTGGAGCTGTAATGCCCATGTCAGGGAGTCAAGCAACACATGAGAAATTAAATGATTGAATAGTATATTGATGGCGAAGGGCTCTACCTCTCAGTTTGCTAATGATCCTTTTCGCTGAATTCTGGATGCTCTGACCCAGGCGCAGTCAGGCTGCATTGAGCCTATAAACAAACGTCTCCAAAAAACAGGACTACCAGGAAGGTTTGAATGATTTTCAGAGTATATTTGCCTGCAGGTGCTTTGTGGTCACAATCTTCCATGCAGCACGACAGAGTGCTGTTTCTGCAGTTCTAATTCTAGAATACAAACACTTAAACCTGTGCTCAGACAACACCGTCTGTGGCCCAGCAAACACTGTGTCTTGTCAATTTGCTGGGGCAGTCGACCGTAACTAAATCTAAATTTAGACATTACCCACCGCAACATCTGTCAGCAGAGTGCTGTATGAGAGCTGCTCAGATGGTTGAACCAACGGGACTAAACCAGTGGAATAAAATGAGGGCTGTAGATTGAGAATGTTTCTACCTCCATGCAGTGGCTATTGAACACTGTTTTTCTCCTCTGCTGTGGAGCTGAGATGAAGCAAAACACAGCTGGAGATAAAGCTGGCTGACAGAGAAATAATAATAATAGTAATAATAATAATGACAGCAATACCAATAACACTTTATTATGTATTTTTCTTTTACTTGTTGGTTGTTGTAGTTCTTTTCTTTTTTCCTTTCCTGTTTTGTTTATCAGTTATGTGCTGACAATAAAATTGAAGGAAATGGGGAAAAAAGATCAGAAGAATGATTATTTTAAAATTAATCACGCTCCCCACAAGTAGAGGGGCACATTTTGTTTCACAGAAACAGACCTTTCTCCTGTTTCCAAGGCATCAGCAATTGCACAGAGTCTCCTTTCGCACTTACAGTGTTTTTCTTCCAAATTACCCCCTCCTGGCAGAGTGAGCAACTACCAGCGGTATCACAGCAACCAGGGAGACAACTGTTGCTCCCTGATGTGGGGGGGTGAGGCTAATGAGGGAAAGGGTCTCAAGAATAACAGACAGCTAATGGATGGAGTTACAGATCTACACTCAGAGAAGGAGAGGGCAGAGCTGAACTCACGTTCCCCTGAGAAAAAAAGAAGAGAGAGAGAGAGAGGAGAAGGAGGAGAAGATTTCTCTGTCAGGTGCCCACATTGGTGGAACAAATTGGCTTTGTTCTGTCAGAGATAGGGGAGGGGAGGCCAGCCAGGATTTCCTCACCTCACTACTTTAAGGCATCCTGAGAGTCACCATGCACCTGCGAGTTGCTCAGATGACGTCAGTGGAATAGTGGCTATCCTCCAATTGGTGCCCACTTCACTGTGGTGCACTGTGGGACTCGTAGTGAAAAAATAGCTGCATGTGAGTGTATCCTAGGATTGCGTTAGTCTTTCCCTCTTGCATGGGTGCAGATCTTTGAGTTGGTGATTGCAGAACAGGCTTGTGTAACGGGGAAAAAGCAGCAGTTGAGCTCGGTGGAAGTGTTGTGAGAAGGGATCTCCCACAGAGTGGGAAGCTCTGAATAGGAGTGTCAAGTATGCAAATGTAATGTAAATGTAAACGCAAATGCATGCGGTCCCGCACCTCTGGAGTCTCACACAAGACTCCATAGACCTTATACACGTTGCAGAAGTCAAGGCCTAAGCCAAAAAATACTAGCAGAACAGGAACCAGAGCCGACTCGCCCCAGACACGGGGGAGACGAGGGCAGAATAAATAGACCAGATCTCACAGCATCTGCAGATAAAATGTAGGCAAAAGCAGTTACAGTAATGTACAATAAACTAGGACACTCGGTACCTAATCCGCCACCCAGCCAATCGTACCTAGCCCCCCACCCCACACCCCAACAGATTCCTGCAGTAGTAATTCTCATTAATGGGGTGGGGGGGGTTAAAAACGGGAGCATTAATCTCGTCTGAGTCGTAAAGGCTTCTGATCTCTTCATCTGCTGAGACGGGGGTCCACCCTCACTGGACAAGGCCCGTACTTCCTGTTACATGACTGGAATGCCAGCGGTTTTGCGTGTTAAATATAGTTCCAATCCTTTGCGGTTATTTTCCTTTCCACGCCATAGCTCAGCCTGGTACAGTCTGTGTTGGGCTGTTAAGCGCTTCCTAACACACTGGGTGAGGTGTCGTTGACTGGGTGGTAGATTGGGTAAAGAGCACTCTAGTTTACTCTACACTCATTCACATAACTCATTCACTTTTTATCTGACCTTATTCAGAGAGTTTCGCATACAGTAGCTTACACTTTTTACATGTTATTCATGCATACAGCTGGATATTTACTTGGCAGTTGTGTACCTTGCACAAAGGCATAACAGCAGAAGCTAAACGGGGAATTGAACTGGCAACCTTTGGGTCATGAGCCCTGCTCCTTACCACTATGCCATACTGCTGCCCCAGGTGATTGTCTGTCATACTGTAAAGAGTCAGAACAGTGGTGGGAGACCTCAAGCAATTGAGAAATAGAAAGGAATGAAGCAAATTCCTGGCAGGAATGCAGGTTTTTGCTCTACTGCATGTTTGTCTTTCACTGAGTGATGTTTGCTTGTGTGGTGTTGAAACACTTTTAAGTCTTTCTCCCCTTTTTTTTTTTTTTAAGACGAAGGGGGGTGTCTGACCTGTATTTTACCTTCCATTTTTACAAAAGAAACTTACGTATGCATATTCAGTAAATTATAGTCATTAGCATAGTTATCATTCTTTTGTGTTTCTCATTTTTGTTGCCTGGCGGTGGAAACACTGTAAATAATAAATTCACACCAATGAAGCGAAGACTGAACTTAGAGTGGGAGGGAGAGGCAGAGGCATAGAGAGACAGAGAAAAGAGACAAAGAGTGGCAGATGAAGACTGAACAGATTAGCGGGTCAGTTATGAAAAGTAAGCAGTCCAGATCCCTCGCTCTCTCACACGAGGTGTAGTGGCTCCTGGCAGAGTTACTGTACATCTGGAGTTATTAGGGCTGGTAGTACAATGGCTGTGTAGAGAGAGAAAATGGCCGCCAGAATTTCTTCGTTATCGGCAGGTCTGTGGCTCAGGTTCTGCTCCTGGGTCATGTGACAGGAAGTATGAGGTGTACCTCACATGAATAACACTGCATTGCACAATGGTGAAAGTGAGTACGAGCAGAGATCTTTGTCTTCATGTTTTTTTTTTTTGCATTAGTGCCTTACTTTTCTGCCCTAACCTTTTTATGGGGAGCGGATGAACTCTATATGGTTGTATGATTCTAAGCTTCTTTTATTTTGTGTGATTCCAGGATTATTGTAGAAAATACTCTATGACTTGTTGTTTTTTATGTTGATGAGAATTTGTCTGTTGGTAGTTGTGTTATTGTCATATTTTTACATTTCTGCTTTTACAAACCAATTACACAAACATGTTTTTGTTATTATTACAATTATTATTACTTGTACTACTAATATTAAAGACCAATGATGTACTATGTATGTGTTTCCTCTGTGATGATTAATGTTGAGTAATCACTGTGGGTGACCTTCCATTTAAATCCTTTTCAAAAGCTGTACGCAACATAGAAATGTCAGCTTTACTGTGCTTTTTACAATAATTTTTATTGTAGACTTAGATTTAATTAGACTCTTAATTTAAATGTTGAGTTATGAGAAAAAAATGAAGAGCCTGATGTGACTGTTTTTATGTGGTGATGTCACTCATATTTTGCATGTTTTCTTTCTCCTTTTCGTTGATGTGCTTGCTTTTGTGTGTGTGTAAGTATACATTCATTTTTTATTTAGCTGTATTTGTTACTCTGAGGCTTGCTGCAGAGCCCTTCACTTATTTACCAATAAACTGACTTCTTCCCCTGCCAAGCTAGCATGCTTGACCCCCCCAGAACCCCCCTCTAGACTAGCCTCCCTCCCAAACACCAGCCATCCAGAGACGACACCAGAGATGGAGCAAAAGGCAGAAATAAATAGCTACCCATAAAGAACCCGTATTGAGGTGGCCATTTTTGCATAACACTTCTCTCCTGTCACCTCAACACATTGTGTTTTGTTTGAACCGACAGAGATAAACCATTTTGTGTTTCAGTTCCATTTTTCATGGAGGTAACATTCACAATCGTTTTGTGATTGGAGAGGTTTAGAAAGCAATGATTGCTTCATGAAGCCGTTTTGAAGCTACGGGTTTTTGCATCATAGTCCAGCACCGTGGTGGGAATGTCTGGCTGGATTTGCTCAGAGGATGTTGTGACTATAGTAGAAACGCGGGCGTCTGTCTGTCAGTCTGTCCGCCGGCTGGGCTTCAGGCCACATCAGTATCAGAGAGACAATAAAATCAGATCGCTCCTGTAATTCACCCCACGTGGTTTTGAACGGGCGTACAGTGCCCACGTGGTTTTAAATCAGAGGGGGGCTGTAGACACTGTCTGTCTCCTCTTAGATAAGCATGGCTTTTCCATCACTTAATGAAAACAGGAAAACATTTCATCACTTTGCCCTGGCATAATTTTTGAACAGCGCAGTGTGGTCTTATGATTTCATTACGCCACATTTCCATCAGTTTATGTAACAGAGTTATGGCTCAGGTTCAACCTAACCATAATGCGCTTTGCACTAGTCTTTGTGAAATTTCAGGAAGTGGACTTTTTTTTGTCAATAGACCTTAGTAACCTTTTTTGTTCGTTTCAGTAACTGCCAAGCCTCACAACATTTAAGGGAAAGAAGGAAGCACAACATTTGATAACATTTGAATTTGTTGCTCAAATGTGAGGAAAAGGCACAAAGCTTGTAGGAATGTGTATATACATATATACAATATGTATATATATGTGTGTGTGTGTGTGTGTGTGTGTATACACATACATACACTCTGTGTTAGTTCTATGAGTTTACATGTTAGGACACGTCCAGGAAGCTGCACATGGAGCCTGTAGTGCCTCTTCACAGTGGAAGAGAACAGCACTTTGGCCTGCTTTTTGCTGTAGTATCATGGTAATAACTCTGCTCCAGTCTTTGATCAGAATGCCACAGCATGACTCACTGAGAGTGGTAAAAGCAAAGAAAGTTGAGCTGGCGTAGCGGTAAAGTCCTCATACAGCTGGCCTGGTTTGTGGAAATTAACCATTTATCTGCCTTTATTGTGACATTTGTTAATGGCGTGGTGGGCTCTCAATCCCTGGGTCATTTCTGAATTGCTCACACTGTGACCAAGTAAAGATGACTCAATTTTTTTGAGTTCTCATTTTTCCTGTGTGGATGGAAGTTGCTGCTGGCCGGTGCTTTCCCACAGTGCAATGTGGCATACACCCTAAAATTCCCACCCTCTCAAAATCTCTGCCCAATCAAAGCTAACGTACCAGAGTACCCTGACAGATCTTATTTAACCTCAGTCTTCTGTCCCTCTAACACACTAACTCGGCTATCGGAGCGGAATGCATTCGAAACTGCTATGCAGTAAATGTGAGGTTAGCCACACTGTCTGACGGCCGGGGGCTGTGGCGCTATTGCCTTGCAGCACGTGCAGGGTTTTATTCATTACAATACATGCATTTAGCAGGCGCTCTTATCCAGAGTGATGTCTAGCACAATAGAACATGTGTATCCATTCAATTAAATGAGCAGCATTCTGTCTTGATTCATCGTTTTGGAGTCAAAGACATTATATGCATAGGAGATCACCTGGCATAAATCAGCTGCTAATTGAAAAGTACCTCTAACACCCAAAGGACTGCAGAACCCTGGCTGCATTTCTCATAGTGCCCTATTGCACAAAATCTGGACATAACCTCATTAGAAAGATCGTCCTCCCAAAACACAAGCCGCGACAGCCGTGGCCCCCCGCCCTCTGACTGACGCCGAAATGCATTCCTCAGAGCTCCACCAAAGCTGTCCGTAATGGCCTCTCATAGCCGCTCCAGGCGTACCCCGGCAGCTCCTCTTCCGCCTTGCTGCAGCTGCTGCCGTGCTCTGAGGCCTGCCGTCGAGGGCTTGCCACGCCGGCACCTCGCTGACTGGGTGTGTTTGTCTCCCCAGGAGAAGGAAAGCGGGCATCCTGCCCAGTCTGGAGGACCTGCTCTTCTACACCATCGCTGAGGGCCAGGAGAAAATACCAGCGCACAAGTTCATCACGGTGAGTGCCGGGCGGGTGTGCTGGTGTTTGTTGTCATTTACGCACTGTGGCCTCAGTTGGCGCCTGTCTCCACGGCCATCAGGAAGCAGTGATTCACCCCTGCTGGCCTGCCTGTCCAGAAATGGGGTGGTGGGGCGGGTGCAGTGGACCATTTCCTGCTCTCCTATCTGTTATCATTGTTTCACCATGACCCATCTCACTGGCGGGGTGTTAACTGTGGTCGTGTTAACTCTTTGCAAAGGGAGTCACTGTCGGTGTGTGTGTGTGTGTTGCCAGGCAGAGCAGTAGTTTTGTGTTGATTTACGTTTGTCTTTGTCCCATCAGTCAGTATGTGTAGGAGTAAACCCTACCGCCATAGCATGACTGGACCCGGGCCAAATTCCTTACTTTGTTTACACTGTTTTCCTGAAAGCTCTTTTGAGTCATTAACATAAACAAGAAGCAAGAAGATAGATTAATCTTCCTGAACAGTGCTGTCTGCTTTATCTGGTTTTCAGGATTGTGGCATGTTTGAACTGCAGTTTGGAAAGAGGCCTGAGAAATTGCAGATAAATTTTTTGCCAGTACAATAAATATCACCCATAATTTATGATGCTGCATTTTTGCACAGGCTTGAGCAGGGAGTACAGCAGCTGGGGTCCATATGTTAATTATCAGCTTAATACCAAAAATGGCTTCTTTGCACACAAAGGTGCATTATGGGATATGAAGTCCAGAGCTAGTTTAAACACACTGCTCAGACTGCAGTGTCAGGCGTCATCTTCCATCCGCACAATTGTTTATCATCATGCGGTGTTTTGGACATTGACCTCCCCCCCGATTCAGATCGGTTTTTCACAGAGATGGGAAATGCTGCCATCATATTTTGACTCGGCCAGGACTCCTGGACATGTTCTACTTCTAACCCCCCCTTTGCTTCTGCAGGCACTAAAGGCCACTGGATTGCGGACAGGTGACCCGAGGCTCCGGGAGTGCATGGAGATGCTGAAGGTCACCTTGAAGTCCACCTCTGATGGAGTCATGCTGGACCGGCACCTCTTCAAAAAGTAATTCTCAGCTTCAATCCAATATTTGTCATATTTAGCATTTTCTTGTAGAGTAAGGCATATGTAATTAAGTTAAAAGGAGTCCACTGCTGAGTGAGTACTTGCTTAAATTGTCAAGCTGGTTAATTGTGCGAAAATTCTTTGTTCAAAGGTGAGCTTCTAGCCTCCACTATTGAAAGCTCACAAACCTCCACTGATCACCTGTTTGCAGGGCATTGTGGGCCCCCTCGTTGCGCCTTATTTATAGGAGGTAGCC